AGTATCTTTTGTTACGCGTGGATCCTGGGTGGATTGCATCAATATTGTCAAGTCATAAGGATTTTAAACATAAAATTAGATTTTAGTTAACAGTGAAATCTAAGATGTGCGTTTCATCCTATTTAGGACTCATCAAATTGGTGTACCTGCACAACGTTCGACCTATTAGTTTAATTTACAATCAACTTGATAAGCAACGCTTACATGCTACGTGTTAGCAAAATTTATTATTATTATTCATTGTGCGACTGCGTGCTAGACTTTTAATTCAGAATAATCGAAAATTTGTAGAAATTAATCATAATAAGAGTCTGCAATGTGACGTTTGTTTTCAAAATGAGTCTGGTTAATCCCAAACTGCCACTGTAACATGAGAAAATTAACATTCATCTTCCAGGAAAGCATTATTTATATCCGAGGGATTTTAGCCCCATATGCTCATCCATTTTTCTAAATATTACCTAACAACACTGCAATTGACAAAATAATTATTTTCAAAAACACTCCAGAAACATGTAAGATTTTCATTGCCGTTTCATCCGCAAATTTGGTCGTCCTCACGTTTAATTTGTAGTCTTTTCATATGAAAAATAAAGTCGATTGGAATTTCATGAAGTATAAGTTTGCATGGTGATAGTTGGATCGCTGCACAAGGTATACGGTAGCTTACTAAATAAAGGCTTGAAATGAATAGAAGGACATTTTTTGGTTACCTATGTTTCGATAGCTCATATTGCACTTCATTGTTTTAGACTTCCTTGAGCTGAGTAATTATAAGCACTAACTGTAAGTACTCATCCGCTACTTTAATTATTGGCATTCTTAATTTTCGGAAACCCAAAGGGACAAACTGTCAATATTAGTTTTGAAAGAACAAGGGACGGATACATTAGAATCCACGCATCTTATATATGATAGATGGGAACGGCTGTGTTGATAAGAAACCTATTAGAAACTATTAGAATATATTTCTCAATAGTTACAATTTGAAAACATGGTGAAGCGAAATTTGTTCTCATAGTCCTCAATCGATGATAATCCTTCACTGTAACAATATTAATTGCATTATATAAAGCTATTATTATTTCAGTTGTAGTTGGAACACTTGTGTGTCAATAGTTTCCTTTTTATTTATGAGGAAATAATGTCAAACTGTGTTGGTGCAGTTCACAACTTGACTTTTCTGGGCATGATTTTATTCATTAACCATCAGAAGGAAGATTTCCTCACCACCCCAGTATTTCACATATTCAATTAATAATTACTAAAGTAATTATTGTAGTTTGTAAATCAATATTTAGTCGAGAAAGTTGACAAGAATCAATTCTTTATATACATTTCTGAATATGAACATTACTAGTGGAGTGAAATGGTTTGGATTATTTTTTCTGGTAAGCGTTTTTTTAGCGAGTTAGTTTTCTACGGGATGGGGACGCTAACCCCATGCCCAACCCTCCTCCTTTACCCGGGTTTGGGACCGGCAGCAACCCTATAAGAGCTACAGGCGGAGTTATGGAAACTTCTTCGACACTACGGAATTCCTGAGAAGATTGTCAATATAATCCGGAACTCATACGACGGACTACAGTGCAAAGTAGTGCATGGAGGACAGCTGACAGATGCATTCCAAGTAAGGACCGGAGTCAGACAAGGCTGTTTACTCTCTCCCTTCCTTTTTCTCCTGGTGGTCGACTGGATTATGAAGACCTCGACATCTGAAGGAAAACACGGAATACAATGGACAGCTCAGAATCAATTAGACGATTTGGACTTCGCAGATGACCTAGCCCTCCTATCACGTACACACGAACAGATGCAGATGAAGACAGCCAGTGTAGCAGCAGTCTCTGCATCAGTAGGCCTCAGCATACACAAAGGGAAAACTAAGGTCCTCAAATTCAAAGCGGAGAACAGCAATCCAATCACACTTGATGGCGAAACTCTGGAAGATGTAGAATCCTTCACATATCTGGGAAGCATCATCGATGAACAAGGAGGCTCAGATGCAGACGTAAAGGCGAGGATCGGCAAAGCAAGGGCCGCGTTCCTACAGTTGAAGAACATATGGAACTCAAAACAACTTTCAACCAATATCAAAGTGAGAATCTTCAATACGAACGTCAAGGCAGTTCTACTGTATGGAGCTGAAACCTGGAGAACTACAACAACCACAATCAAGAAAGTACAAGTATTTATAAATAGCTGTCTTCGCAAGATACTCAACATCCATTGGCCGGATACCATCAGCAACAGCCTTCTGTGCGAGAGAACAAACCAACTTCCAGCTGAAGAAGAAATTAGGAAAAGACGATGGAAATGGATAGGACATACATTACGCAAATCGTCAAACTGCATCACGAGGCAAGCCCTAACTTGGAATCCTGAAGGGAAGCGAAAAAGTGGAAGGCCAAAGAACACATTGCGTCGGATAATAGAAGCAGATATGAAAACGATGAATTACAACTGGACGGAGCTAGAAAGGATTGCCCAGGACAGGGTTGGATGGAGAACGCTGGTGAGCGGCCTATGCTCCTTCACGAGGAGTAACAGGCGTAAGTAAGTAAGTAAGTAGTGGAGTGAAAGTTCATATAATGTAAATCAGTTTTAGGTGGCAAACATTTGAAAGTGATTGATTTCAAACAGCACAGTATTGTGCTGCAAATTGTTGTCAAGAATTCATTATATAAAGTCATACTTTATTCCAAGAACTTGAGGAAGTCTGTTGATCCAAGTCACCTGGTATCATCAGAGACAAAAGAAATCATTTACACTCTAGTTCCCAGATCTTTTTAAACAAAGTCAGTTCCTTAGTCGGAAAGTCACCACCATCTTTAAGAAGAGCTGGAGGTAAGTCATCTGGGCCCGGTGATGTGTATCGCTTCAAGGGTTCGAGTTCCTTGCGAACTTCCGCCTCATTTGGTGGATCAGTCGTCACCGGCATGACAGTCTGACCGATGTTACCGGATCAGCAGGCCAGTTGAACTGCCCATCGAAAAATTCTGCCTATCGTCCAAGACGTCGATGGGTGTTAGTGATTGGCATCCCGTCATCCTCACAGTATATTTCGCTCACACCAGACTTCTTGCTGCCAGTTGCTTGGATGAGTTGGAAGAGCTTCCAGCAGTTACCAGATGCAGCTGCTGATTCCAGCTCATTAGCACGCTGCGACCACCAGGCTTCTCGCTCCTTACGCAAGCTTTGCCCAATTTCCTTACGTAACATCCTTCGTTTGTGGTCAAACTCACGGTCACCCGGCGTAGACCGACGGGCTTCAATGAGTTGTAAGGAACCTGAAGAAACCCAGTGCTTATAAGCGGGACGTTTCTCGAAGCCGCAAGCGGCTTTCATGGCATCATGCAATTGCAACCAATGCTCATCTATAGTTTTCGGTGGGATGGTATCTAGCCTTCAACCTAGCTCGGTTTGATATTTAGTTACAACAGAAGCTGCAATCAATTTACTGACATCCATGTGTTTAGGACGATGAATTTGTTGGCCACTGAAAAGTGCGACATGAACATCAGCAAAACCAGACTAAGGTGCCACAGGGTACCCGGACAAACGGACATAAAACGAGCTTTTTGAAGCGACAGATGGAGAGCGAATTTGTAGCGCTTCACTAGAGTCTTGAATACCGGTCTCGGATAGAAAAAACTTCGATATTAAGATTTTCCAAAGACATAGCCAGCTCTCTCTGTTGTCTGACTTGCATAAATGTATGAACGTTGAAGGCAGCCAGTTTGAATGGTGCACGTGGCAACAGAGAGACTGCTTCAGTATTCGTATTTGGTGGTAGCATATAATTTTCAACCAGCCAGTGATTCGAGAACGTTTAGATAGAACCGAATCTCCACCATAGGCGAGCTGCTGTATAAGTCGAAAAATAAGGACATAGGGTGGGAATAAAAGAAAGTGAATAAATGACGTAGTAAATAATAATGTGATTCTTTTGATTTTTAATCGAAACAAGAAAAATAGTTTCCATAATTATCCGCAGCTCATCATATTTCTGTGAGGACTGTGATACTGCTTGGGTGCCCAGACCGAAGCAGGTGGTTTTCTTAGGAGGCCACCCCCCGACACTTTGACCTACAGGTCTAACCCACAAGGCAGTGGAGCATCGTGAGGAGATGCGGCCTCATGGTAGCCGGTGACCAAAAATTGATTCATACGCCATTTGTTCCCGCAGGATACTTGAGCTCATGTGCACCATTGGTTTGGGATCCGGTTAAAGCGACGGACATTCGCTTTTCGTCCTGTCATTTTCGTAAACAACACCCTCGTCACCAGAAGGCGGTAGGTAGGACTTCCCTGGCAGAGGCTGTATGTGCGTGGCCGTGTGAGAGCATTTCGAGAGGGAGGGCGAAATTCATTCACAAGCCAACGCACTAAAACTGATGAGGCTTTTATAATGTGAAAAAGTCAGCGGATTTCACTACCTCAGTACCATTTAGTGAAGCTAGGTGTTCATGCAGACAGTTTTCTTCTGGAAGTCCTTCGAGTTAATTTAATTGCAATATAGTCTATGTGCATCCATCGTCGGTTTGACTTTTTATCTGCCTAAAGTTGTTTCATTCTAAGATCTAATGGTTATCGAATTATAACCATAACAGAAAATCGCAGTTATCTATCCACTCAACTTAGATGTCAAACAATGCGTTCAAGTATCTTTCTGTATGACTTACCCTACCAACCTGTTTTTTAAAATCAACAACAATTAGAGGTATGTGGTTGGCGTACATGTACCAGCTGTTCACAGAAACGAAGATATTTTCTCGAGGGACCTGGTGAGAAAACGTATTGGTAGTGGTTGTCTCGTCGATCTGCGAGCATGGTCATAGAGCTCGTTGAATGATTTTGTTGTCCTAACTCGGACTACTGGCCCTATAAATCCATCAGGTAACCTAAGGTGTATTGTTTTGATAAACTTTATTTACTCCTCTCATTTGTTGCGGTATAGTGGCAATACTTGTGATTCTCGGGCCTTAGATTCACCGCCTTTTTTCTTGGCGCTATCCAACTGATTCACTGTTGGTGTAAAAGTTCAAATGTTTCAGGCAACATAACTTGATTAGATCATAATGATAGGCAAGCTCAATCATCGTATCAAGATACTAGCTGCAGTTCACATTGTGAGTTATTTTCGTCCAAAGAACCATTACAGATGAGTCTTCCATAGTTTACCACTGCAATAAAAAACTTTAATCATTTTTCCAAGAACCAAAAACAAGAATGTATCAGTCACATCTAATCGTCTTCATATTTCTATTTCAATCAACGATGCGGTATTGTGACTATTTTCATATTTGCTGTATAATTTACTGAAATGACCTCCGAGGCTTATCATCAGATTTTCGTAAAAAATATCTAGAATGTAAGTGAATCGTTATATCGGTTAGTTGGGTTTGAAAAACTTTTTTTTTGAAGCCATACTCAAAGATGCAGTAACAAACGTCAACATACCGTAATGAATAGTCAGTTCGTCAAATAACCTCTGTCAGTGCAAATAAGTCGGTACTGGATAACAGCTGATTTCAAACATGAAGTACTAAAATAGATCTTGGGCACTGAGGAACGTCCAATTGGTTTATATTAAATTAAGAGTGCAAATTATATTCGAATTAAGAAACTCCCTTTCTAAGTGTATTTAATTTTATTTGTCCAACTAACTGATTAAAAGTCGTTTCACACACAATTAACAGAATTGAGAAAATTGAGGAAAAATTGTCACTTGAATCAAATAAGCAGACAGAAACTGAGCTTACTTTAAGGAAATTAATTGATCAGGTTGAACTTATGAAACTTGCTGCTTCCAATTCGATGCAAACTACAAAACCAATATCTGTGAAAAGACAAGGACATCGGAAAACTTCAGTAAGTCAGAGTAAATTTTTTGTGAATCATAAATATTATTTTTTAGTTAACTAATGAAGATATTTCCAACGACCGAAGTTAATTTTTATGCGTAAATAGTAATTTGTTAGTCAAATTATTGTTAATGTGAATACGTTTCTACTGAATTTAATTTTGAATGTCTATTCAGAGAATATTTCATTTGGCTTATTAACTCACCAGTGATTAACCGTATTTTGCAATCGATCTACATTAGGTTTAGTATGATTTATCAGGAGAGGAATCTAGTTGTTAACACATTTATAAAGATGCCAAACTTGGTATTCTCAAAAAATTAAGCATTTTTTCCTATTTTAAAATAAAATCGACTAGGCCTACATTTAATATCTTACTGAATCCTCATACTTAGTAGATCTAAACTGCCAATTTTCAAAAGTGACTTAGGCTAAGTAAAGTAACTAAATTGCCGGATTTTTGTTTCCACTCAATGTCCTTCATTAAATGAGTGTGGAGAGTTCAAGACACATTACATTTGGTAATTTTAAGAAATCCGGGACGCGCGTTTCGTCCTATTTGGGACTCATCAGCTGGATGTACCTGAATCCCAGAGTTGATGTTCACTCGAGGACTTGAACCCAATACTGTTCGCTTCAAACGCCAATCAATCGCAGTGCTAAGCATCAATGGAAAGATTCAAGTAAACAATACCAATTGAATTTATATTTCACCCTCATTGAGCAGGCAAGTAGCTATTAGGACTCCGTAGCTAAGTGGATAACGCTATGGCGTTTGAAGCGATAGGTACTGGGTTCAAGTCCCAGAATGAACATCAACTCTGGGATGCAGGTACACCAGGCTGACGAGTCCTAGATAGGGTGAAACGGTCGTCCTGGATCCCACTACCAGCCACGAATCATCTTTGCTTATAATGATTGTGAATTAAGGCAATATCGAGATAATCCGTACAAGACGCACAAATGCCAATAGGAGACTGATCAACTGCAGTGCTACACATCAATGGGAAAATCCAAGTAAACAATACTCAGTGAATTTAATCACAATGATATTTATTACCGTCTAGTATACTTTTTCTAGTTACTGAATTAGAAGAAATAATTATTTATACCAAACTATAACTAATAATTTTCTTAGATAATAACAGCAGGTTGTAAAACTTTTCTTCTGTTGCTAGTTTTAAAATGTATAGGTCCAAGTGAAAATGAATAGAGACAGAAATTCGACGATCGTATACATGAGCTAGAAAAAGTGTTTGATCTGCATTAAGTGTTTCAAAACTGCATACAATTCAGGCTACTATTCAATCCAAAATAATTGCTGATTTACGTATTGGGCCAATATAAGCATTGGAAAGCGAGAAAATGTCTTATCTGGAGTGCAGAGCGTTATGTCCAGGTTTGAAGTAAAATGTAACAAACTACTGTACAAAAAGTTGTACAGATAAGTAAATTACATTAATTTTCAAACCAGATTTTGAGTTGAAGGACGAGTGATAATTAAGCGCAAAGTTCACGAAGTGAACTGCTGCAATCTCTTTGTGAAGGGTGAATTAGTTTATTCTGTTTATAAATGTAACTGTCTGAATGAATTTGTTGATAATTTGTGTTGTATTTAACTAATTTATATGTACTCCATCAGGTGTTTTGGAACGTGCAATCAATATCCGTAGGAAATTTTACTTAATGTTTTCAGTGCTACAGCCCTCACACAAATCGAGTGACGAAGGGCGGCCAATGTTTATGTCTATATGCTTAAACAAACAAATAAATAAAACTTAAATTATGGATTTTTTTTTCAATGTGCAAAATTAAAAACGTATTTTTATTCTGAAATAGTTAACTACGTCCGGAGTCCCGTATTTACAGAATGCGGATCAAATATTGAACCCAGGTGCCTTTACATGCTCTGATGAATCGTCGTCTGGTAATCTACCTAATCTGTCGAAAAGTGAGAAAACACCCAATGTAGTCTATACTTATATTGATAATTACCTTAAAGCCTGGTAGGTTTAACTTTTATGAATTTCTCAATAAACATTTTGATATTTATCTATAAAAAATTCTTTATTCAAGATAGAAAATGTCTAGTAGATATAATCATGTTTGGGGATTCTGTGACAATTTTGCAACTAAGTTATTCAAGATGATTGCTTAACAAAGTTTTCTTACTTGAGAAAATACGTGAGGTGTTGCGTTGTTGACTGTTATGTTATCATATATAGTTGTTTTTCAGTCGTAAAGAAGTTATCGGATTATCCTGAATCGTTAACCTTTGTTCTTTCGCTCCAAACCTTGTTTTTTTATCACTCAGGGCAGATGATTGAAAAAGCCTTCAGAAATAGTAAAACTTGTTGTTTTAGTCATTCTATTCTATTTAATAGTTTTTTTCGCTTACCAGAAAAAAGTTATTCAAATCTCATTTTTATCCGCCATCCTATCATTTGACTGGTTGAGGCCACCTGTAGTGTCCAGTACAATGCCAAACCCACATGAGTTGTTCCAGTTTCTGGACAGACGAACTTATTTATTATGCCTGAGTCACATTTTGGCCTTGCCAATTTTTATCCTATTAACCTTAGCCGCTTTTATATAACCGTACGTGTACCACTTACCCTACTCATCACATATCCTTAGCTTAATTTACTCTGGTTACAAATAGAGTTGGCACAGTTGCCTTCGCTTCTAATTCTTAATATCTGTCAGAATTATTATTATTATCAGCTTTATTCAATATTATATTCTTGGTACAATATAGAATTCTCAGCGTAAAGTATTTCAACAAGTTTCCGTTTCTTTCTTCTTGGTCGGTCCTGGCGATAAATATTGAGTGATCGCCAGTTAGATGTTAGCAGTTCACTAAATGAACATCTGAATAATGTGCATTCTTTCCGTTGTATATTGCCAGCAACCACATTGTCTCTTATTGAGTTTTTTGTAACTTTGACAACGAAAGGTTGTACACTTTTCAGAAACGCAGCAGAATAGGTTATGCGATTAATAAACATAGTGATATATTAAAACAAACAAAAATAGATAATTTGTTAAAATATTTATATGGAAGGAACAAGTAGCCGAGATGATCAAGCAGGCTGCCCTTGCCAAATAGACGAGTGCTTGAAATAAATCCATCCAACTCAGCCCGTATTTATTTTCTTATTACCGCCGTTGCGTAAACGGAGTTAGCCTATGTGTAATATACGTATTTAGATGAAGGATTTGTATTCGTGGCATATTCACTACGTTAATCCAAATCAGAGTCAAATCTCAGGTCATTAAATCATTTTCTCTAATCCAAACAAACACCTTGACAATCCGTATTGTTTATTTTTTGTTTATTGACTTGATTTTTAATTCTTTTTACATACTACCTTTTAGTTTCAGATATGTGAGTTTTTTTTTGTTTCTTGAAGTATTTTTTTATTAACCAGTATTTCAATAAAGGGTATTCGTCTTGTGAGTCAGCTAGGATTTTTTCGTGATCATTAGGACAGCAGGGATAAATCACTGTTTACAACTAGCTTTATGTGAGGACGGTCCACGGGTGAACTCGAGGAAGCCTTAAGAAGCTCAGAAACAGCCGAAGATATTCCATCCAATCATTTTCGGAAGAATATTCCAGAATCTCTACATGTAGCTTCCCGATTGGACAATGCTAATAAGCCCCTGTGTGTGGATTGGATAACTATAATGATGATCTCGTTTTTACTAAAAACTATAAATACCTGACAGTTTGTACTCTAATTTGACACTGTCTGGAATAACATTCCTTTCACTAGTCTTCTGTCTTCTCGTTGTGAATTGGAAGGGTTCTGCTGTTCAAGTGCTCAAGTTATACGCTTCATATCACGAATTATAGGCATCTAGATATATAACACTCACCAGCACAGTACGCTAATTTCTTATAGGGCCCATATATTGTCACGAAAGACATTTGACAAACCATCCTATTATGTAGAAACAAAAAACATTGGTTCTTTGGTTATGTATGATTCAGTGCATTTTATTTATTATTTTTAATGGGAAGTTCGGAGTGAACTCCCTTAACATAATGTGTAATTATCAGACTTCCACTAGAGAAACTTGAATCTGATTTTATTTCTAACGTTTTAAATTTTCATAAAGTGTGTCAAGTGTTGAGAAGAAATTGTTTGGCAAATTAGACATCTGCTTTAATAAAATCCAATCACTTGAAGCACATGCAAATCAAAATAAAACTGAAGATGATAATAGACTGTAAGTTGTTTTATCTGCTCAAATAACACTGGATTAATTTTAGTTTGAACTATTTCGCTCCTTCAGATGTGAATTTTAAGGTGATTCGTTTGAATCTTTTGGTATATTCTGAAATTTATATAAGCCGAACAAATGTCCAAAAGAATGCTATAGATACTCAACTTACGACCAACTATTTTAAAGTAAACCTAGAAACCCATCGAACACACTCCATATTACTGTCATCGCAGTGCTGAAATGATGTAGGAACTTTTGTTAGTACCCACAACTGTTGTCGTTGGTCTAATCATTGGTTAGTAAACCGCTGATTGGCCTAATGGTAAAATAACTAGCTACTCTGTCGTCAAATTTGGTACCCTTACGACCGCTATTTGGGAACAGAAAACAGTTTACTTAACCTTCTATCGGTTTCCGAAACTAAAAAGCGAACGGACAATTGCACAGGATAACCGCAAACTCTAATCGTTTGCACATTGTAACAATTGCTCAGCAGTTAAGAATATGTAACTGGAATTTAATAATAACGATTAACAACATTAATACTATTTGATATTTTCCCCACTGATTCGCACTAACTAAAAAAATATGTAAACATCCGACACAGTACTTGGCGCGACTAAGATCAACCAAAAAGACGATTAAGCAACAATGGCCGAGACTCTGATACGAACAAACAAAACTGTTAGTCTTAATACTGCTAATCCGTTGACACTGGGTTTCTTCTATCTTGCTTAGTAGGCATAATTATCTTGAGTAGGGATGAAAGCCATTATAAGACGTATTTGTGGTGAAGTGTTTCTAAGTTATCAAAAGGATCAATTAATCTCCTTAATTCGTGCACACACACACAACTTTACAAAAATGTCGCTTATGAATCACTTTAACCAGAATGACTTGTTCAGATTGGTAGACAAGGTTAAATACTGTCTGTAAAGCGGCAATTGGCTCTTATGTGGTTTCTATGGTTTTCTGAGGAGAAATCTTTTTAAAACTCGTGGTCAATTTATCTGAACATTTTATTTGGGCCATAATTATTTTGAGCTGATTCCATCAAAGTATCTACATTTATGTTATAAGCTTTTTGTTAGATTCAACCTACAGTTCTGATTACATAAATACGTTTTACAATCATATCTATTTTAGGTTTCAGCCGCATTTGATATCGCAACTTAGTAAAGTTACTGAAGCCTCTTTACTAGTCTAAGTCGTGACAAATTTTTGGTGGTTATAGGCTCTGATGTGTCTACCCACTTCTGTGCAGCGGATAACTTGTCTAAATCTAGATTAAGACCTTGACGCGATAGGCTAACTGGCTTAACCTTGAGTTTAGTATGCGTAGTTCGAAGTGAGATTAACTGCTTGGGGTAGAGAGACGAAAACTATCCTATTACCTGATTGGCTGGGAATGAGTGGACAAAGTCAATTGGAACACTACTCAATTATTCCCGATTCAGATTGGTGTAAAAAGATTCATGAATAAATAAATGACTAACCAGACCACAACGCACAAACAACTAGGAAAAGACAATCACGTCCAATACTGGGGATTAGAGTAGACAATAGAGTACAAAAGATTAAGTTCAAATTACAATAGCTTTGGAACAGAAAAGGCTATGGCAGTGAATCAAACGAAAGCTTATGATCTGTGTAATAGACTAGGGACAAAAATAAATGTTACTGTTTTACAAGCTTTCAATTGAATGAAGTAACGTCGGCAAAATAGCTTCCATAGTTTGTCAAGGCTTCTTGTTTCTCTGTCCACATCAGGCTTACAGCTGTAAATTCTTGATTTTTATTCTCTTGCCTGTCATTTCTGATCATTTATGATTCGGATTGCGACCATATTGCCATCAGTCATCGTCGGAGAGGGTTGATACATGCTTGGACTCCGACCATGCTCTCTTACGAGCAAACATTTGCTTCCGCCTCTCTGGACGCAGAAAAATCAGATTAAGAATGCCCATTAGAGTTGCACTCAGTGAATAAAAGCCAAAAGAATGTTCCAGGAACGACTGAGGTCATACTTAGGCAGTTCTAAAAACGAAACTGACTCAGATGTTGCTTGAAAAGATATACGAACAGATGTGGAAACAGCAAAACCAAACGGTCAAGAAAAAATCAGTGGATTTCTAATAAGTCTATTGCACTGATTGATTCTCGTAAACTCATTCAATCAAGCTCTGAACACGATGAAGATCGTAAACAAATCAGACCTAAGTTAACCAAAAGTCTAAGGAACGATCGTGAGCAGTGGTGGGCAACGAAAATAAGAGAGATGGAATAGGCAGTGGCTGTAGGTAACACCAGACAGTTTTTCAGACTAATAGAAGAAAATGGAATTAAGAAGACAAGTGTGAGACGATCTCGGAAAAAGGATACACTCCTATCTGCTCCCAGTCCAGATGTTTAGAACGATGGGCGGAACACTTTAGGAAGTTCAGATAACCTTCAGCCACTTACCATTCCCAAACAGCCTAAAATGCAAACACGAGAAAATCAGGTTGGCTTCAGACATGGTTGTGGCTGCATCGACCACATACTCACCATTCGTCACGTCCTAGAACACAGGCATGCTTATCGGTCGCCAGCTTCAGTGACTGTCAATTTCATCGATCCACCTTGTGGATTACACCCAGATGCAAAACGCTTGTCTGAATTTTAACTTGAGAAAACTACGTGTCTTAGTTTGAGCGCTAGAGCAGAATGATGGCACGTAGACAAATAACGATTATATTTAGTGAAAATAAACCTGATACTTTGTATCATTAGGCACAAAAAGATTTTTTTCATTGCAATATTAAAAGAAAATTCTAAATTGCTTCAAACCTACTTCATTTCATTTTGCATGAGTTTTTTCTACATTAAGTTTAACCTTTAAACCACATAGCGTCTTGTATTTGCTGAAAATTCTGTCCTATCTAAACGACTTCAAGTAGCTTTAGGGTCAATTTTTTAATGCTATCATTAAACATAGGACTTGATTGAAGTATTGCAGAAATCAATATGCAGCTTAAACTTTCTACCTTCAACGCCTGGACGTTGATCATAATGGACACCATCCAGGTTTGCCATTGACGGAATTTTTTGTGGTCCGGGTATCTGACTCCAATTCGATTGTACGAATGATTGTTATTGAAATATACATATCGCCAATTCTCGAATATATCTATCGACTTAACTTGCGTAAGTGAATAACGGAGTTAAATAAGTCAAATACGAGAATGGATTTCGAGTACATATATTTCATACAATAGTTGATCCAGATAAACGATCGGTGAAACGAAGCGAACCGATGCGCAGTGGAGGCGTGTGAAAGAACAGTACAAGTTTTAAAATATGTTTACCTACATGTTAAGAATACACGTGATTCAGTAGTGTTTCAGAACGTTTTTTATTTCGTGCAGACAAAAATCAGTGAATCAAATGATAAATACTTACCTAATTTTAATTTCAGAGCTTAGAACACTTTTTATAGTTTCATTAACTATAGGAGAGTCAAAATGTTTGACTAGTTTCTCCATTTCTTCCAAACGTCTTTTATGCTGCTCCAATGTAACCTTGTTGATAGTTAAGTAAATACTGGTAATTACACCATAAAAGGAAAGGATATATATATATATATATATATATATATATATATATATATATCCAAAAAGATCGATAAACCATTGGTTTCCCCATTTAATAATTGTAAAAATTATTTGCAATAGAAGTAAATGGTTGCTAAAGGATAGTAGTAATCAAAGTAACCATCATGAAATCAAAGCCTTGAATCTCGGAAAGATATAGTCATCCAATTGTTGTTGTTTAAAGTACAGAAGCATTCAGAAAGACAAAAAAGCTCGCTAAAATATGTTAGTTTAGAGAATTTCTATTCTAAAATTTTCTTAAAATATTTCTCCGTGGTTACATTCATCTGCAATATGACAATCTAATCTTGCACATGATCATAGTATGCATATGAAACTGTAATAAATCTATTATCCTAGGGTATTTAAGTTTAATTTTATCTTTGTCAACATCATTATTTCTTTCCAGGAGAATCTATCAATCATAAGTCAGTCAGTCACAACGTAGAAACTCTAACGTATGTACGTCAGTTAACACAACTCATAAGTCAGAGAGATGAACTTATCAGACCTAATGCCAGAATAGTAGGGGTAGCACAGTATGCCATTACCCCCAAGTGGTGGTCGGACTTGCTTATCGTAATGAACCGACTGAGCTATAGTAGCTGAAACAATCGTTCCTCAATGTCCCACCATGCCAGACAGGTCGGTTGAAGAACTGTAAGACCAAAAGCAGCAAACCCAAAGTCTGAGGGCGGATTCGTACTGCTGACTGTACAGAAGTGTGAAGGCAGTAAAGTGTCTCCTTCAAACCACCAGCAAAACAGCGATGCAGCCTTACAACAAGGAGAGGTGAGGTTAGAAATGGTTGACCCTAAAAATGCACACCTCCCTTTATCCAACCGATATCCGTCTCCGGAGGTAAGGTCTCAACAAGTACGGAGCTAACGCAAAAACTACTCAAGAAAAAGTCGTGTGTGACCGACCCCAAGCATTTGTCCCTTGGGCACTGTGGTCACGCTCTCAGGTCACTAAGATCACCTTCGATCTAATTTCCATTTCTTGTACCTCAAGAAGAACTTTTCCATGGTGTGGGCAACCTGGAATTGATAACCATCCTTATACCTCTAACAGCACTCAAGACCACTGTATTCATAATCAACCTCCCTCTTCACTTCCTATTATTCCTCCTACATCGACTTTCAACTCTAAGCTTCCTCCTCAAATGTCACCATAGCCAACGATTCTAGTGCTCAAAACACTGTCCCAGGTCTACTGAAATCTCGCTCCACACTACACATTGGAGCCTTCAATGTACGCACCTTATGTCAAATCGGTCAGCAGGCTTCCTTGGCTAAAACCCTAGAATCTCGTACCATTGATGTATGCTGTGTCTCCGAAACACACATACAGGATCCCAGCGTGGTCATTCACTTGACCTCACCTCAGCAAAACGGAGAGCCAACGAGATACACCCTCCGTGTATCTGGTGACCCGACGACCAGCTCTCGTGGACTGGCAGGAGTAGGGATAGCCCTGAGCGTGAGGGCGGAACAAGCACTGTTAGAGTGGATCCCCGTCAACAGTCGTCTATGTGCTGTTCGGCTAAAGGGCTCCGTAATAACTCGAAGAGATAGAGACATCTATCGTTGCCTTTTCGTCGTTTCTGCCTACGCTCCCACTGACTGTAGCCCGGATGAAATGAAAGATGACTTTTACGGAAAGCTTTCTGAACTCCTCCATAAATCTAAACGCTCGGACATAGTACTCGTTGCAAGTGACTTTAATGCACAGTTAGGTAGCTTAAACCAAACAGAAAGACATTTAGGTTGATATTTTAGCATTCCGGCTCAGCGAACAGATAATAATGATTGTCTGCTGCGACTGTGCTCAAACAATCATTTATTTTTAGCAAATAAATTTTAAGCATAAGGAGCGACATCGCCTGACATGGCAACCCCCTGCACCAAACCGACGATGGACTCAAATAGACCATATCGCCGGCGTAGGTATAGTATTGAGTCCTAGGGCAGAACTAGCTCTCTTAGTCTGGATCCCAGTAGACAGTCGTTTGTGCGCTGTCCGACTGAACGGAACAGTAAGGATCCGAAAAGATAGGGACACTCGTCGTTGCCTCTTCGTCGTCTCTGCCTATTCTCCCACTGACTGCAGCTCAGATGATGTAAAAGATGAGTTTTACAGAAAGCTCTCCGACCTCCTCCTAAAAGCTAGGCGCTCTGATGTAGTAATAGTGGCCGGTGACTTTAATGCTCAAGTAGGTAAACTAAGCGATAGGGAAAGACACCTGGGTGGATCTTATGGTGTCGTAGCTCAAAGAACAGATAATGGCGACCATCTGTTGCAGCTATGCTCAGATAACTGCCTGTTTCTTGCAAATAATAACTTTAAACATAAGGAAAAACATCTTTTGACATGGCGAACCCCGAATTTGTCCCAACGTTAGACCCAAATAGATCACATCGCTATCAGCCACCGCTGGAGGGGCTCAATAGAAGACTGTCGCTCATTCTGGAACACATGCTTAGATTCAGATCATGCTCTAGTACGAGCGCGTATCTGTCTGGGTCTTATTGGACGTAGGAAAGACGCTGCAAGGAAACCTCTTAGGGGCCTACCTAATGGTAGTCAAGCTAAAAGTATATTTCAGGAACAACTAGGAAAACAGTTAGGCAGCTATGTATGTGATGCCCACCCCGATGCAGCATGGAATGATATCCGAAAAGCTGTGGAAACAGCAATGATATCTGCTAGTACGGTAACCCGTAAAGTTAGGGAGCATCACTGGATCTCAGCAGCATCTATCGCATCTATCGGAAACTCATTCCATCTGGATCTGAACATAACGAAGAGCGGAGTAAGCTTAAGCGTAAACTGACAAGAAACCTACGCAATGATCGCGAACACTGGTGGGTAGTGAAAGCAAGAGAGATGGAAAAGGCAGCGGCAATAGGTAATAGCAGACAATTGTTCAGACTCGTTAAGGAAACCGGTATTAGGAAACCGACTGTTAGCGAAACAATCTCAGAGGAAGATGGACATATTATACATTCTCAATCCAGGAGATTGGATCGATGGGCAGAACACTTCAGGGATCAGTTCAACTGGCCTTCAGCCACACTTCGGTTTCCCACGATCTCCAGTCAACCTGAATTGCAAGTTAATGTAGGTCCTCCGTCTCTTTACGAAGTTGAAAAAGCCATAAGAAATCTGAAGCGACGGAGAGCAGCAGGCCCTGACAGGTTTACTCCTGAGATTTTTAGGGATGGCGTCCAGTATTAGCAATGAGATTAACCGAGGTCTTAGGTAGAATTTGGGAACTGGACGTAATCCCATCTGACTGGTCTCCATCACTGATTGTGCCAGCCTATAAGAAAGGACAAAAGTCCTCTTGTGACAATCACAGAATAATCAGTTTGACTAATATAGTGTCTAAAATATTAGCCTCAATAATACTTCGACGCCTAACCAAAGCTCGTGAAGAGCAGACTAGAGAAAATCAGGCTGGTTTTCGACCTGGATGTGGTTGTATAGACCAGATATTTACACTACGTCAGATTCTAGAACACAGACACACATTCAGACGCCCCACAATCGTAGTATTTCTCATTCTTAAGGCGGCATTCGACTCTGTTGATCGTGAGGTTCTATGGTAGTGTTTGTCATTGAAAGGAGTACCAAAGAAGTACATTAACCTTGTAAAGGGTCTTTATTCGAACACAACTGGTAGAGTGTGAGCTTATGGCGAACTGTCATCAGAATTGATTACCTCAAGTGGTGTTCGTCAGGTCTGTCCACTCTCTCCATTCTTGTTCAACTTTGTCGTCGACGTACTTTTAGAGATGACACCTTCCTCGTCTAGATTTCCAGGGGTTGAACTTCTACCGGGAGATTCACTTGTTGACTTAGAATATGCTGATGACATAGTTCTATTTGGTGAAGACGCTGACAAAATGCAGAGTCTTCTGACCACTCTAAGCAACAATGCAAGCATGTTCGGGATGCGATTCTCTCCCTCGAAATGCAAAATGTTGCTTCAGGATTGGGTTGCATTGACACCCGAACTAATGATAGGGAGTGAAGTAATTGAGTGTGTCGACCGCTTCACTTATCTTGGAAGTCTCATCAGCCCTTGTGGTCTGGTGTGTGACGAAATCTCAGCACGGATGCAGAAGGCTCGACTAGCTTTTACCAACTTGCGTCATTTATGGCGTAGGCGAGATATCCGTCTACCAACCAAAGGACGTGTTTACTGTGCAGCAGTCCGTTCCGTCCTACTTTATGGCAGTGAAACATGGCCGGTAAGAGTAGAGGATATCCGTAGGTTACTAGTATTTGATCATAGGTGTCTTCGAAACATTGCTCGTATATCTTGGGACCATGGAGTAAGTAACACAGTTGTCAGGAAACGGGTACTAGGTAAGGATGGCAAATCAATTGATGAAGTAGTGAAACTTCATCAGTTGAGATGGCTGGGACATGTGTTACGTATACCCAACCACCGACTGCCTCGATGTGCGATGTTTTGTTGTATAGGAGTAGGTTGGAAGGAAGCTAGGGGTGGCCAGACCAAAACATGGCACAAGTCCATGAAGTCACTGACAAGTGAACTGAGTCATATTGGTAAGTGTAGACTACCTGGTTGGGGACCGTGAGATGACAGCAACCAATGGTTAAAGACCCTGAATGACATGGCTCAGAATCGTTTGCAATGGCGCAGGTGCATCCACTCTCTGTGTTCTCCCAAATTCTAATCTTCTGAATTCTTCATGTCCCTTTCTTTTTTTTATCTTTCCAAATTTATTTCACTGGATAATACTCCTTGAATAACATCTTCAAACCCTAATTTTTTCTGATTACAGCTTATAATTTCACTACATCTAGCACTACGGGATTTGAATCGACCACCGCATTTCTGTGCTAATGTGGTGTGGCAACTCGAACTGATATACGTACGTACGAAGTTCTACGTCGTTACTGACTGACTGACTGACATAGGCAAAACAGTTGGGTTGACAATCAGCAATTCCCAACTTTTTCCCTACTTTAGACCCAAAATACTCAAAATGGAAGTTGGCTTAAAAGTTATACAAGGTAGTGTCGCTCGTAATGTAGTGAACAAGGACACCGGTGGGGAAAGTTGGTTTTTGTTAACTTAAAATTACAGAGCATCTCAATAAAATCTGAGAACCATATATCAAATCGTTACTTTGCAAAACGTCCACCACTTTTTCCAAAATGCCTCAGACTTCACTGCCCGTGCCTTTTCATACAAATTGCATTCTATTCCCGCTCTTGCTTTCTTGATCTTTCCTCATCTTCTGCTGCCGGACATTACATTCCTGACTCGCATACTATACTACTTATATCAATATAAGTAGTACGCACCACAGTAACTGTTGCGATGCTTTCTTTCAGAAATATAATATAATTTGATGAGCTTAATTCAGTTGTGCCTGTTCAGTTTCGATGATTTATTAAGTTCTAAAAATTTTGCATTTGAAAATCATTTTCTCAGAATTTAGTCCAAGTTGTTTTAATTTTTTAGAATAATAATATTTCTAAATTAATTCAGACCAATGACGAATAAGGATAATCTGTTATATGAAATTCTAACCATAATATTACTGGGTAAACTCTTTATATTATCCGAAGTTCCACAAAGTTTATGCGAGCACTGTAGTCTTTATTTATAACTTAGTTTGTAGCAACTAGTCAGTAACCATGTTAATATCTATATGTTAATAGGGCTACGTTGTCCAAACTAAGATAAACTATTATAAAGTATTATACTTCTTGTCTTATTGGCGATAAAATAGTAGAATCGTTTTAACTAACCAAGTAGACAAAAAGTTGAGTGTTAATACTGAAATTACCAAAAGGTTCTTAACAAAACTGAATACTGACGCTTTGGTCTGTATTAGCTTTGTGGCTAGCAAACTGGACATAAAACTACTACTGGATCTATTAAATTTATCTAAGCATAACGTTCACAATCATATTTGTACAGTGTTCCTAATAGTTTCTCATTTTTAGATATTACAGAGTATATTCATCCTTTCCTCGTATAAGAACCTCCAGTTTGTTGCTTGATCTTCTTTACTGTAGCAAAATTTGCTAGTGTCTCCTTTCGATTGCAGGTCACAGCTCTTACTCTTATTAGACGAAGATTTAATTCATTTACAAACAAAACTAGAAAATGAACCAATAAAGTATGGTGAAACATCCATTGTGAAGGTGATTTCATTTCTTACTTTTAAAACATCCATCCAGTCTTTTGTTTTTATGATAACGTCTAAAGAGTGATATCGAATGAAAAACATTCGGTTAAGGGTAACAAAGCGACTTCAGTCTCTAGTTCACAAATACCTTTGATTTACTATGTTCATAATATTTCAGTGAAACATTATGGTCGTATTTAACTGAATATTGTTGGGGATGTTAGATCCCCAGAACTCACTAGGTAAATACCTTATTTTTGTAATTTTATTTTGAAAATTTGAATCGTTGTGTTTTCGCGCCAAAAGCGCTCTTTTCACCTTCATGTCGTATTTCCCACTTGAGAGAATATTAAACGCTATTGGTTCGTTGTATCTTTTAGTATGCTATTTTGTAACGTTTCCCAAGGACAGTTTTGTGCTGTATATATATGTTTGATTTGTGCCTGTTTTTATCGCTCGTGCTTCTGGCTGCTTGCGGAATGTATTTCCTCGTTTGAACTTGGACTTCTCTCTCTAGTTAGCGGGGCTGGGACGCATCAGAATAACTAGTTTATTGGTCTTTGGTCACAGATTCTTTGTTCCGTTCGCAGACTAGGTGAACTCATAATCGCTTCAAACATAGCAATCACCCTATTTCAATCATTAGGATTCAATTTTCCTTAACAGATGAATATAAATTTTTCTTGTAAAAAACGTTGAAAGCAAGCAATTCTATAGCTTAGTTACTACCAATTACATATAGTAATGTTTAGCTACCTAACGGTCTTTCATCACAACCTGATTGAAAGTATTCTGCCGTCATAAATCAGAAACCGACTATTTCTTGATGAATAATTTTCGATACTACACACTCTCGCCTATTGCTTACTGTAATATTTGGATTTAGAACTTTAGTCAGATCGTTGTTTAGCTGAAGTTTGTAAAATCTAGATCGTATATAATCGACTGCACAAACTTAGCAGTTAGTAATCAAGTCAACCATTGGGTTTATGATGTATGATAGACTATCATTAGCAGTTCAGTTGATCTCTCATCATTGTTTATTTCCTGTGGACCTCCTTCTCCTCACATGTTAAAAATAATGAGCAATGTGAACCAGAATATTGTTTAAATTTCTTACTTTCTTAATTGTGTGGACGGTAAAGCCTCGGTATTACACATGGTATATGATGAATTTCACAATTATATGGATTCAGTTTAAACATAGAGATGAAAGATTCGTCCCATTTTAAAGTTTATCTTCTGTGCATTGAAAAAAAGGAAAATTTTGTCATATAACTAGATGATAGGTAACATGTACGATTCCAGATACTATCCCACAGAGAGATTAGGAAAACAAAAACGTTGAAGTGAAAGATTGTAAATTAGTATCAGTATGGTGTATCTGAAATCTTGACTAAACTTAATAAAACTGACCAATCGAGATATCATATTTATTGAAAATAACTTTTGTAAGAATGGTTAGGTTTGAATCGGTAAATCCCTATAGCTTCACTCAAGCTTTAATCTTGTTCTTTTGACAATGTAGATAGTCTTGAACCATGAATCCCTTGGTGACTGGAGGACTGAGCTACTGATTGATTTACATTCCCATTTTGATTTATTTATATTAAGAGACTTGGATTAAGTTAGACATTTAAACAAGGAAAGTAATCATGAGAACTCTGTAAAATTAAAGAGTGAACATGTACTCATTTTTCCTCTACCTTTACATTTCACTGGTATTTTTCAGAATGCGCAAGAACCTTTGGACTTCAGAACACTAGCTGAATCTATTCTGGTAGTGAAAATCAGTCTGGAATTGAAAATTAACAAATTGGAAAAACAGGTGAGGTTATTTTTTATTAGTACTAACTTTACGAAGTTCACCTACACGAAATGGTTTAGCTTACTATCGTAACAGAGTGAATTAGAAAGGTTAAGGTGATGCCTCCCAGAATGCATAGTAGAAGTAGAGCGTTGAGTATGTTCCTTTTTTGCATATAGCTCTTGTTTTTCTATGCATTTTTGATAAATGGTTCAGCAATCGTTTTGCAAAGATTTGTTTTAGTCAAAAATTCCCTATCTATCTGTTAGGTGTCCTCTTTTCGCAATTCTTACACATGCATCTGTTCTTTGTGGACAGATTGAGCAAATGTTATTAATATCACATGGATCGAACTCACATACAACAACCGATGTACCCGATTTTAAAGCAGATAGTGTGATAAATCAATATTGAATCAGCCAGATATCAGAGATTAGTTTTTTGCTTGTTAGTGGATCTGCTATCATGAATATATTCTATCATTTCTGTCGTAATCGTGACTTAGTTTTTATTAACCATAACTCTCACCCCTCTCCTTCACTGCATGTATCTCTTAAGTTAAACCGATTCGTCTGCTTATGTACTTTTTCTGACTATATTTAATCTTCAAATGTATCGGGGAGTTTTATGTAGTCTATATTCATGATTGTTCATTTGTGTTTAGTTTCAAAATTATTTTCTGATTCTTTTAATTCTTTTTAGTATTAATATGAATAACGCTTTAAACTTTTGTTCATTTTCGTTTTTTCTCATGATTATTTTCTTGATGAGCGGGAGAATCGCTGATGACCATTGAGGATTGGCGTTTTGTCCTGTTTGCAGACACATGTGATGGAAACAGTGACTTATACTTTACTTTCAATCGGTTTGTAATTCAGGGAGACAAATCACATGCTCGAAATTCCTATTATTATAATAGAAATTCATCTCGAAGCAGTTTTTGCACTAAGTGTTTGCTTATTTTTTGTTATTAAGAAATGTATTACAGATTTACAGTGTAGAAGGTGTTGATGTTTGCAGTTGTTCGAATTAGAAAATCCAATACCTGAAAGAGATCTATCTAAACCATTTCATTTTATGTCTTAATTATTGTTGTTCACTTTACGAAATTATTATTAATTAAGATGAATGAACAATTGAGAGTCAATGGAAGGCATTATACAATTTATAATTTTTTAAAAATATGCATCATAAGAGGAATGGTGCAATATAATGGATATATTTATATTTATTTCCTAATTATTAAGAGCTTGCATATTTCGTTGACTCAAATAGTCTTATTAATAATCTGGATATTATTGTCCATGTATATTTTTTGGGAGCTAATACCGTCTTAAGAAGACCAAAACACACCTTTTCCTATTTTTTGAGAGCAATCGTCAGGTGATGCGATAACAACTTTTAGAATTGTTTAAAAGTTGTGCATGACTACAGTAAAATTTAGAAATCTTAAGCTGACCCAATGAGAACAAACAGCGTACACAATTAAATATGAGTTTGCTGGAAATATTAACTTCTTTCAGTTTCTCTGTTTTCTCTTCCATGTATTCCAGATATAAAAATGATTTTATGTTATCCTTAAGTTATACTTCTTTTCTTCACTAGCTTAATGTGGAACGTGAAAAGATTCACACCGAAGTTGTTAAACTAAAAGAAATTTGTGATCGCTTCAAAACAAGAGGAAATATATAAACTTAAAAGTTTGATCATTCATTTGTCTGTGTTGTACCAATTAATAAAAGTGTAGTAAATCAACTTTTTTTTCTCTAGATTTATATGACCTAATATATAAAAAGATTACTCTTTGTTACTATACACCTAACTGTGATTATTCACATTTTTAAGCTATCTAATAAGTACTGAGAAAGACCGACAAAATTATGCCCACAAAAGTTTTTCCCTTGGACACAGTTTTTAAAGTGAAGTTGAATGTCCCGGATTTTTCATTTATCACAAAAAATGGGATAGATATAAAAATTACTCAAACTATTTTTTGGGCAATAAGCAAGTATGTATCTTCATCGTGTATTTATAATCAAACGAATTGATTTCTAAATACAGAGTAATGCTTCTAGTTGAATAAGTTTTGCTATTAGTTAATGCATTCTTTGGCAGACACGTTGATAAGGGCCATACATTGAAACTTGGTTCCTTATTAATGTTTATTCATCAACCGCGAATGTTTCTACTTTGTGGGATTCTTAGTTGCCATAGGGACTTCACCATAATCCGATTGATAATCATTAAGGGAACCCACACGTTGACCATCATCAGACAATCGCAGTAAATAAAACACTAATATGTGTGAACGAAAAGTCTACAATAAGCTTGAATAATAATAATAATATTATTATTATTATTACTATTATTATTATTATTATATAATTTTACTTCTTACTGGTCAATCATCAGTCTTGATGTATAATTATTTACTGGTTGTTTTGAGCAAGTCATCTAAGACGAAAGATTTATCCTGAATTCCATCTTTTAGCTACAACAATAATTTAATGAAAAAGTACCATTTGATTTTCGAACTATTTATAAGTAGTTTAAAATTATTTAAATATACACTTTAATCATGATGTATAGTCAAGTTTGTATTCAACAGTGATTTTATTTTCCACACTCAGAAAATAAAGTAATAATTAGAGGATTCGAAAGAAGAACATGGAAAGATTGTAACTCATTAAGAAAATGTAATTCATGAATTTCATGCAATCAGTTCCCTTTATGAATTTAAATAAAGCAAGAACAAATATTGGTGCAGAATAGTATGAATTCATATTATTTCGAGGTTTCTCGTCAGCTGCTTACAAACCAAAAATGTGATAGAATTTTTTTACATTGAGATAGAGTGAGAACAATTGACATAGATGAGTGTAAATAACTGGGTTACAATAATAACTATATATATATGCTGGAACAGGTCAGAGGTCAAAAGGAATTAATTCGGGTTGAGTGGTGTAATAATGGAATTGAATAGTCATAAGATAGGTTACGTAATAATAATTAAATAGAATTTGAAAAGTTAAGATAATTTAAGAGGATCGGGTGGTGGAAATGTGTGAATAATAATGTGGTTTAAGAATTATGTAATAGGGGAGGAGTATAAATATTTTAAAATAAATAAATGAATAAAATAACCCAAATAACCAAAACACAAAAAAAGGGTTACCAGGGTAGTGATAAGTTTATTAAAGCCTCTTTTGAATGCAATTCGTAAAATTCATTTATTTGAAATAGAAACATTTGATCACTCATAGCTAAGTACTAATTGATAACAAACTGTGTAAACCACAAGGAAATCACTTTGAAATCACGAAACTAATTTATCAGTGATGTACAGAAATACCCTACTTGAGAATCCATAAGAAGATTTATAAATGAAACATTAAAATGACTTCTAACACAAAGCTGTAACAAACAGAACATAAAGATATTCGAAAATCAATAAATATTCCAATTGAAATATCAAAAACAGAAGTTGGGCGAAAAAATATTTTGCTTAACTAAAAATTGGCAATCGACTGAAATTTAGTAAACTAGAGCTGTGGGATAACAAAAGGGGATACTTGTTTAATAAAAAAGGATGAAAAAAATATCACAGGGGAAAAAGGCAGATTATATATGGAGGTTAGATAACCGGGAGTAAAGAAAATAATATGTGGTCAATCATTATTTACTCAGTAGCATGATTCGAATTTCAAACAAGATGTACAAACCGTGATTCATTGCGTAATCTCACCCGTTTATATATTTATTTTTTGTAAGTAGAAATCCATATACATGTTTGTGTATGAATGTATCTGTATATATGACGAACGATAACTGCAGACCTTGTGTATTTTATTCCCCCCCCCACCTAGCAAAGAATTTAGGATTTAGAAAAGTTACATAGGTTTACATTCTGATGAGAGATATTTTCATCATCTTTTATTGTCACAATTTTTAAATCTTCTTTCTCAAATTATCATTTTCTTATCTAAATGTTATTCCAATCTTAATTTATTTTCAAAATATGTAGGATTATTGGGACAGCGTTTTGATGTTTTCTGTGTGAAAAATGTATAAAAATATATCTAGTGTCAAAGTTGACGTTAATGGCATAATTTTTTAATCGGTTAATACTTAGTTGCATTCAGGGAAGTTTAATCAGCCCTCAGCTATCAAGCCAAATGTAAGATTAAACAATTCCAACTAATTCCTAGTGAGTTAATCTCATAGGATGTCTGTTTTTAAATGTGATGTATGTAAATGTGGGGTCATGATGGTCCCAGTATAAAACATTCTGCTACGAAAGTGATACTTTACGAGTGATTACTACCATGAAATTTTGAACGTGATAACCGATTTAGTCCTTACGTATTTCCAATTACTGCCTAAGTTACAGTGAATTTGGAATATGTGTGCATTTTCGTTCAGTTAGATTGTTTTCTCAATGCAAGTTTAGCTTAACACCCTCTTCATCTGTCATTAAAAGTCTAATACCTGTCTAAATGAGCCGGCTACTAGAACTTAACTTAAAACTAATATGCCCCAAACCTAGTTAACAGTATATGGTTTACGCATTGTGTCAGTGAAGAAATTTCTATGAGAAAAATTTTCTTCTCTTCGATGTCATTCATTGAACGTACGATCATATCTTTAGCAAATTAACAGCAAAGTAGTCTTCTGGAAAATCGACGGGACGTTATGTTATAGAGTCATGGGAAATTTCAAGTGTCAAAAGAGTGCTACGTAGCGACCGGAAATCTAAGAAAATATTATAAAATGAAACCCAATGTTTTGAAGATAAATTGTCCATTTGACGAGTACGAAGAACTTACTTACTTACGCCTGTTACTCCCAATGAAGCATAGGCCGCCGACCAGCATTCCCCAACCCACTCTGTCCTGGGCCTTCCTTTCTAGTTCTATCCAATTTTTGTTCATTTTTCTCATTTCTGTCTCCATTTCTCGGTGTAATGTGTTCTTTGACCTTCCTCTTCTCCTTCGACCTTGAGGATTTCATGTGAGGAGTATAAAGGAGGTGACGGATAAATTCAAAACGTGAAGGTGACTGCAAAAAAATAATTAAAAACATAAGAATGTAGCTAGTTGTAATATACAGTGTATGAAAAACTAAATGTTGTGGCCATGGCAGAATAAAGTTTTGCACTAAATTCAGGTGTAGGATGAAGAATTGCTAATGTTCCTTCAATGTACAAGTTACTAATTTGTGCTCCCTCCGAAATTAACCATTGACCATTTAAATTATTGGGAAGAGTATATCTGGTGAGGTAGTATGACCAGAATTGATGAGATGTTCCGATACTGAGCTACTGATTATTTTACATTCTCATTTCGAAAGTTACTTAAGATAATATCTGAAGGTGTGTTTAGAGAGCTCTCATTCTGTGAGGCCATCGTAACTTGTTTTACAACCTCAAGTGAACGTATAAATACACATTGCTGCAGTCTGATATGAGAGTTTGTCTTTGATATATCTAAGAATGACAGGGTGACTGGAAAATGCGACACAAAGCCTACTAGCTTGAAATGTTTTTTTCGATGACTTCAGCCAGTCTTGTAAGATTTCAGCTTCAAAATCCCCTCTGAACTGAATGGTAATGAATAGAATCGTCTTTTGAACTGTAGGTTGGTGTTTTTCTATGTTCCTTTTATTTAACCTATGCTGATAGACATTTTTGATACACACCTATCACTGCTGGAGTAGTTACTTGTCTGTTATGTCTTCAAAAATTATTCATCTAGCCATCGAGGATAAAGTGTGAATCAAATTTTTATTACTGCTTAATGGAGCCTAGCTTTTAAAATTAGTATATTGATCATTCGAAGTTGGTTTTCTTTAAATAAAGTTCTATCTGGGCTTTTCGACAGGATATCAATTAAATAAGGTCTGGAATTCACCTTTGCTTCCAATCTGAAGTTAATTGACTATGTAGAACCAGGCACATATATGCATCGGTTCAAGTTGCTATACTTCATTAGCACAGCAAGATGAACACCAGATTTATAGAAGCAGTTAACTCAGTGGTGATAATATACAAAAGATTTTGTATAAGGGTATAGTACAAGTGGTTAACGTGTTATCAACATTTCTTTCGTGTACATGAAAGCTAACGGCTGTTGTTGAAGTAATTATTTTCCTGTTTGGCCATGTAACAATCCCCCCTAAGAAGGCTCAGTGGTGAACGCACTGCTACGCTATCTGTTTGTCTGTGGGAGTCAATATTAAGTGTAAACTGAATATTTCAAATAAATCGTAAGAGTATTTTGATTGGTTTTGCTAAGTTTGATGAGATTACAATATCACCTAAAGTTGGCGAATGGAACGAAGGGTCAGCAACACGATACCAGGACAAGCTAAACTATCCACTGCGCCCCGGCCCTGCTAAATAGTGGGAGAAGACTAAATTCAGCCGGTAAAAAAGTATATTCCACAAGTAGTTGGAAACACGAACAGACAAGCGTAAAACTCAGGCGTATTTGTACAGTGGAAAAAGTCCCAAAATAGCGTACTAAAAGAGGAAACTAACCAATGACAATTCAAGTCCTTCCAAGTGGGAAATACAACCTGAAGGTAAAAGTGAGCGCTTTGGTACGAAAAGGAGAAATTCAGATTTTTAAAATAAAATTACAAAAATATGACGTTAACAAGTTATTTCTGGGGGTCTAGCATCCACAACATGTTGGGAACACATTACAGTTATTGCTATTGATATAATTACATACGAAACATT